CAGTAGTAGCAATATCTTTTTTTAATCTATTACTTCTTTCTATTATTCTATTTATAATTTTTTTAAATACATATATGTACTTCTTTGACTTATGTTTTCTGTTTCGTATATTTTGTTAAACAATGTAATCTGTTTTGGCTTTGTATATTGTCTAAGTGTTTTCTTTTATAATATGTAAATTGTATGTGTAGCTGCAAGATCGTTTATAAATAAATAAATAAAATGCAGTAAGATTTTGATTTTAAAAATAAATTTTTAACATTTAAGTTAATACAGAAGCTAATATTTACTATTGTGACTTATCTAATTGATAAGTTAAATTTATAATATTAATTATCTATGTCGATAGTTAATATTGAATGTTGGCCTTATGTAGTACAGTACCACAGACAACTTTCTTTATTATAAATAGTTTCGTGAATACATGCGATTTTTCAAGATCATGAATGTGACTTCACAAGTTTCTTTGGCACACTTAAATCTAACAAATTTCATATTATATTAAATCAGCTGATATGAAAGAAAAACAGATCAAATGGGCTACTACGGCATTGACATTTGACATACACAATTCTGATTCATAAGCTGCCCTGCGATTCTGTAACTCACTTTTCGAACTCACACAGCGGTTTTCGCATCGGCGGTCGCTCTCAAATCAGTCGTGAAGCAGTCATTTTATGATTTGGCATTCTGAAAAGGTGGGAGCTTGTAGTTTAATGTTTATCAGACGATGCGAAAACCGCTGTGTGAGATCGAAAAGCGAGTTACAGAATCGCAGGGCTGTTCTCTTACAATTTTACCAATTTGTCTAGATAAATGGAATAGGAATTTAATGCATCCTAATAAGCTTGCCACGCAACTAACCATACCGGACCTAATGAATAGGCTTAAAAGGCGACAAATCCTAATAGTACGGGAGGTAGACACGTTTGAAAAGAAAGAATTTCAGGTCAGCTGATTTTGTGATATGTCTTCCTTCTTGCATTTTCGGTTAGAGTCTGGGCAATCTGGCTGGCGGTAGCGGTTGCGTTCATTAGTGCGCATCCTATCTGTCCGGTAATAATCCTGGATTTTAAAAGCATTTTAAGAAGCGTAATTTTTAATTTTTCGTTTTTAAATAAGTCTACCTGACATACTTTTTTATTGCCAGACATTTTTCACATTGCTAACTATGTGCCAGACGCGATTTTAAGTTTTTTTTTATAAAAATTTCAAAGTATTTTAGAATGTCTGTAATTTTAATATTATGTTCTTTAAATATAAGAAAAACTAAAAATGAATTTGCCACACATTAATTCGGTTGTTAAGTCTTGAATTAAAATGAAAAAGTATTGCAGTATGATGAAGCGTTGCATTTTAAGAAGCGCAATTTTTAATTTTTCCTTTTTAAATAAGTCTACCTGACATACTTTTTTTATTGCCAGACATTTTTCACATTGCTAACTATGTGCCAGACGCGATTTTAAGTTTTTTTTTTATAAAAATTTCAAAGTATTTTAGAATGTCTGTAATTTTAATATTACGAGTATGTTCTTTAAATATAAGAAAAACTAAAAATGAATTTGCCACACATTAATTCGGTTGTTAAGTCTTGAATTAAAATGAAAAAGTATTGCAGTATGATGAAGCGTTGCATTTTAAGAATCGCAATTTTTAATTTTTCCTTTTTAAATAAGTCTACCTGACATACTTTTTTATTGCCAGACATTTTTCACATTGCTAACTATGTGCCAGACGCGATTTTAAGTTTTTTTTTATAAAAATTTCAAAGTATTTTAGAATGTCTGTAATTTTAATATTACGAGTATGTTCTTTAAATATAAGAAAAACTAAAAATGAATTTGCCAGACATTAATTCGATTGTTAAGCCTTGAATTAAAATGAAAAAGTATTACAGTATGATGAAGCATTGAATTTGAGGAAGCGTTATTTTTAATTTTTTTTGTTCAGAATTTTCTCACACGATAATGATTCTTCATTAGTTTTAATTACTTAGTTATTTATCACTTAGTTATTTATCACTTTGTATGAATAACATTTATTAAAACTTACGTAAATGTTTTTATTACCAATGAAAGGCATCATACTGCCATACTTTTCATGACTTTTTCATTTTAATTCAAGGCTTAAAAATCGAATTAATGTCTGGCAAATTCATTTTTAGATTTTCTTATATTTAAATAACATAATATTAAAATTACAGACATTCTAAAATACTTTGAAATTTTTATAAAAAAAACTTAAAATCGCGTCTGGCACATAGTTAGCAATGTGAAAAATGTCTGGCAATAAAAAAAGTATGTCAGGTAGACTTATTTAAAAAGAAAAAATAAAAATTGCGCTTCTTAAAATGCAACGCTTCATCATACTGCAATACTTTTTCATTTTAATTCAAGACTTAACAACCGAATAATGTCAGGCAAATTCATTTTTAGTTTTTCTTATATTTAAAGAACATAATATTAAAATTACAGACATTCTAAAATACTTTGAAATTTTTATAAAAAAAACTTAAAATCGCGTCTGGCACATAGTTAGCAATGTGAAAAATGTCTGGGAATAAAAAAAGTATGTCAGGTAGACTTATTTAAAAAGGAAAAATTAAAAATTACGCTTCTTAAAATGCTTTTAAAATCCAGGATATTACCTGGACAGATAGGATGCGCACTAAAGAACGCAACCGCTACCGCCAGCCAGATTGCCAAGACTCTAACCGAAAGTGCAAGAAGGAAGACATATCACAAAATCAGCTGACCTAAAATTCTTTCTCGAAAACGTTGCTACCTCCCGTACTATAAGTCTTGATAGACACAGTTGAAAGAGAGGAGCAGTCTCGATGGAGATTTTGCTCTGAACGCCTAACAGCTCTCAACACATCTGCTCATAGTCTAGCTGACTGATTGCAAGATAAAGACTTATTTATAAAAATGGAATAGGAAAAGTACAAAAACTATACGACATTAAGGCATACGAAGTCATTAATATTTAATATTTATAAAATTGGTCTTAAAATAACATAATTTATGGATGTTTTATAGCATCCGGTTCGAAAACATCATAATTAGTTGTCGATATTAAAAAACGATAAAAAGTTGGAAGCCAGTTGTTGTAACAGATTCACATCCGCATTTATTTTAGACTAACTGAATAAGAGTATTTATTTATCTTTGCAAACAAAAATTCTGTAATAAATTGGCCATGCAACGGTCGGCCTTATAAACAATCTATTCCAGCAAAGATTAAAAAAACGCAAGAAAAGTAACAGAATATCCGAAGATACTACTCATAAAGATTAATAAAAAATATAAATAATGTTTCGATAAGATAATACAAATATGTATACTGTATAGTGTATTATATATGATATTTACAGGTCAAAGTTCTAGGTAATCTATGTATGAGCGAAGCAGGGGCTTGTCACTAATATTTACAAAGCATTAAGGTGTGTTTATAGTCACGAACTGTCTTGAAAGTCACTCCGCGGAACGAAAGTGAAAATGTTAGTATACGCTTGAGAATATCTTTGAGTAAAATAAAATGGGCAATGGAAATCGTGCTTTACGATTCCGACCCGAGAGTCGAGCATATTTTATTTTAATAAATAATATAGTCAGTATAAATGTTTTTATTTACTTACAGTCCGTGTTCATTGAATTAATGATACACGTTACAAAAATCCAATACAAGCAAATTACGGAGTGTACCATATTCAAAACGCCAACAGTATCTTAGCTTACGAGCAGTGTTGGCCTAGTGGCTTCAGCGTGCGACTCTCATACCTGAGGTCGTAGGTTCGATCCCCGGCTGTGCACCAATGGACTTTCTTTCTATGTGCGCATTTAACATTTGCTCGAACGGTGAAGGAAAACATCGTGAGGAAACCGACGTGTCTTAGACCCAAAAAGTCGACGGCGTGTGTCAGGCACTGGAGGCTGATCACCTACTTGCCTATTAGATTCAGATTCAGAAATCTGAGGCCAAGACCTAAAGAGGTTGTAGCGCCACTGATTTATTTATTTATTTAACAGTTTCTTAGTCTTATTTCATCACACGAACGTATAATGTTATCAAAATCAACTGTGTAGGACAACACAACATATGTAATCAATATTATATAAGTTTCTTCGTAAGCTCTTAAATTGTATAAACACGTGATGAATCGTGATCGTGACAAAACTATCGGAATTTCTACAGACAGTGGCGAAACAAAAACGTTAATAGATATTTAATGACCAAATGACTCCATTACATTGCAATCTTTTGTATTTAAAGTTGATTTGATATGGAGTGCTATTATTTTACGTAATAGAAGTACATTTGTATGTATTGGAATGATAGCTTCTTTGAATATCGCTATAGATAATATATAATAGTTAAAGTCTTTACGTACAATAAGTGTACGATCCATTCGAATAAAACTTCTTTAGCACATTAGTCACCACAAATCACTCAAAACGACGTAAATAATTTGAAAATACGCGTCTTCACTTGTTAAAACAATAATAATATAACATATGTCTTCCATTTTTGAATACATACTTTAAAACCTCATGATTCCTGCAACAAGCTTAAATACGGGACTGTTTATAAATAACTAGCAGACCGGCCAAGCGTTGCTGTAGCTAAGGTTTTAGTTATATGTATTACAAAGTAGTAACCTATTCAAGGGAAACGGTAGGAGAACACCAGTCATGGGGACCACCATGCTTTTTTGGTGGTAATGCCATTAAATTGTAGCTTATGCGAAACGTTTGTACTTTCAACACAGCGCCATCTGTTAGAATTGTGACTGTCAAATAATAAACAAATATTTTGCAATAAAATAATATTGCAGGTATACATTGAGATGTAAGCTATCCCATCTTTTAAGTTGGATCAAACTGCACACGGTGTGCAAATTTGAATGAAATCGGTTCGGTAGTTTAGGAGTCAATATCGGACAAACAACGTGACACGTAATTTATATATATTAAGGTTTCTAGAAAATTAATTTAACTTACTTGTCCCTTGGATATAATGAAGAAGGTATCTCCTCTGGCGCCCTGTCGTATGATGTAATCACCGTTTTGGTAGTGTGTTTCTTCAAGCACGTCGGATATTTTAATAAGCGTGTCCTCGGGAAGATCCTTGAAGATGGGAACACTGAAAAAATAATAAGTAAATTAGATAATATAGAATAAACGGATGTAAATTCATTCATAAAAATCTTTTTTCTGGCGTTTGACAATTGACTAAAACAGCACATACATACAAAGTATGATGTGATTAACTCTAAATAATATCAGAATATTTACCAAAACTATAGATAAACATAAACAAGAATAGACAATAATGTTTACATTGGATTGTCTTTAAAAATGTAAAAGTACGTCTTTGCAAATCGTTCACCCAGTTCTTAATGCGTACAAACATTGCACAACAAGACATTTCTTTGTCATTTAACACCAGTAAAAGAGGTGAAATATGCAATTGGATATTGCATTGCAGATTGCCACCTAATATTCCAGTCATGCATGCAATATGTTGCAATTTTGTTTGAAAGTCAAACAAATTATAAGTACGCGAATAATTTGCGAACAGAATTTTATAAATAGAAAGGATACGATCACTATATATAGATTCGTTGCAGACGTATTATATATGGAGCAGAAACGTGGATAATCTTAGCCTGAGAAAGGCAAAGGATCTACGCTTTTGAAATGTGGTGCTAAAGGCGGATGTCTAGAATACCGTGGACCGCTAAACCCTTATCAATAAATTATATGTCGACAACGCATCATATCGTACTTTGGTCACACAATGATCGTGATTGGCAACACCAAAGGCAAATAATACACCGTTGTAAAAGAAGCGCACGGCCGAAATTGGTGGAGAAATTCTGTTTATTGGAGTTATTCGCGCCAGATCTTACTATACAGCTGATACTTAGACACGATTTACCCACCCAAAGAGAGAGACAGCCGTATTAAAAGACTAGATCCGCCATTTCAGTGAGACTTATAATTGCACATAGGCGTTGCTGTTATATTTTTAAATAACTAAATTGTTCACGTAAAGTCTTTAGAGAAAATCTGAATTGAGGCCTTTAAACTATTATATATTACACATAACAATTTTAAAAATTGTATTATACACGTCAAAGAGAAGTAAACTATATGCGTTTAAATTGAATATTCGTAAAATTTAATATTATTTCAAATAGTGCAACTTTGTTTAGTATAAAAACATTATTATAATGTGAACGGATTTCACGGTCACATATGAAAGTATAATGTTAAGGTTATTCGAGTCAATATTTGTTGCTTTTGTTTCCATATTACTATTACCTAGTTGGTGGATTATAAAGTCAAGGATTTTTCAGTTTTAATTAAATGCAAATGTATTAAATAAATCAAAAACTCTCAATAAAGAACACATTAAGACTGCTAATCAAAAACCGGTAAATGATAATGTCAGAGTCAATTTAAGAATTTTAAAACATAAGTATATTTTCATTATGTTGTCAAAACGACAGATTATATTCTACTTTCAGCCTAAATGTGCAAAGCAGACAAGTTAAAAATCAAATTAAATACACTAAAAATAGTTCAAAAATAAAGAGGTTTTTAAATTAATACTAAAAATCAGCCCCGAACTCAATAATTTAATTAATAATTGCAACCTAACAATACCTAATCTTACGACAAACTCCAATTTTGGTTTATTTTAGTATTCACTATAAGCTTGCACGTTTTGGCCGTCCGCGTCGACCGTCTTGTCTGCCTAAGGCGACTGTAATTTTTACTATCCCAATGTTAAAACATGTATTATAAAGTTGTTAGTTATAAGTAAGTGGCTCAATAAATCTACGTCACCATAACGATTTAACAAAACATTTCAAACAACTATAGAATGTTTTGTTCTAATTAATATCGTGTCATTAAGCACAAATGTGACAAAACAAAACCTACTTTTTGCATTATCTATAAAAATATCTTTAATTGTATCATTAAAAAAAAATGTTTATTTTATACTGATTTCACCATTAACCTCGAGTTGAGGCTGTCCGGATAGAGAACTGGCTTTGTCTTACATAATTCTTATTCGCTACAATCGTTAATTCCCATAGAAATAAAATTTAGTAGGAAATTATAAGGAATTAAATTTAGAATAAAAATTAGGCCATAATGACGGAAGGTTTCAATATATCAAAAAACACCTCAAACCCGACGGTTCTTTTTCCACAGATTTATTTTCAAAATATAAAAAAGGTCGTTAAATATACGTTGTCTTTCAATAAATACACAATACTTGAATAATCACTTTAAATTTATTATAAGGAGTCATTTATAAAGTGATATTAAATCTCTCGTGGTAAGTCAAGCGTAGCGTTCTACCTCAATGAATAAAAATTAAATTAATACTTTCAATGGTTGAATAAAGCTCTGATTAAAATAAATTTTAGTTTACCATCCTTACTATTATTAATTTTACTTTTTCCTTAAATTATTTACTATTTACTTTAAATTACATTAATTATTATTATTAATTAGATTACAATATTGTAATCTAGTTGTCTTACTCCGCGTATCAAACAAGTAATTAGTAGACGGATTTTACGGAAATTGCGAGCTTTGACTTAAGCGGTTAAGTCTAAACCTGTGAATTGGTGTGTTCCTTCTGGCTGATGCGCAATTAAAACTCGCATGTACGGTGAAGGTACCGAGAAGAAACGGGCAATACTTACCCAAAAGCAGACATGTGTCAAACAAAGGCTCAACACCGCTTATATTATATAAAAGAAAAATAACCAAATTAACAAATATAATTTTGGGAGCCAGGTTATTGAAGGTAGCGCCATTGCATTAATGACTCGGTAACAATTTAAATGGACAATAACTTTATTTACCAATTAATATCTATACGATTTTTTAATTTTCAAGAGACGTTATTATTATAAAAAATCGACAGTTTAAGAAAGAAACGAAATACATATTAAGATATTTACAAATTTACCACTCAACGTTTCGCTTTTTTATGATCAACTTATATTTTTATTCCCTTCTGAGAAAAGCTTTTCATTTTATGATCTTGTTGGTACTTTGGCGTGTTGCCATATCGATGTTGTTTCATAAACAAGTTTATTTTTCTAATATATTTTCCAAGTGCAACAATGCGGTGTCAACGATTTACAAAGCCCATTGTGTTTCTAGTGTTGTAAACAAGGAGGAGCTTATGGTTTATTATAATTATTTTATTGTCATCAACCGGATGCGACGATATTAACTGCACAGTTACATTTTCCCATATCACACAAATCTTTATTAAATTTTCAATCTACTTTCTTTTAATCTTAAAAAAGTGATAGCAAATTGAATAGAACAGGTTACCACTAACGTCCCTTTAGATTAAATAAACATGGCCCCAAAAATGTTCCTAGTGGAACACCTTATCACATTGTACACACAGAACTGATTATTCTTAAACTAATATTTGCTCAAATAAATTTGTTAACAAGGTCTTCCTAAACACGCCATATAGGCTTTGTTATTGGGTGTTTTACAATTATTTATGAATAGTATCTTCGTCATCTAAATTCCGCCATAGATCTCAACGCTACTTTTATCAATAAACAGAGCAATTCTACAGAAATTATCGCTTCCCTGAGCCTGTATCCTTAGCTCTTTTGTACTACGTTCTTCTGTTTGGACGCGAATATAATCACGCGGGCACGTTGCCCGATAAAAGGAAATCCTAAGCCTATCCTTAATTTGAATGCGGATCGGTCAGTGAAAGGTTATATTTAAGCGTCACGAGGCAACGTGAAATGTATTTCGCAAAGTATCGCACGAGGCTTGGGCAACGACTGTGACAAGTTTCAACAATGCCTTTGTTTTAACTTCAATTCTTACAAAAACTCGCAATGGTGTCCGATCGCTTACATGAATACAAACAATTTTCAATTAGATTGCGTTATTTACGTAGTTTCGTCGAAACAAGTAATTGTGAGGTTTGGGATGCATCAGTAAAATTGTGATCTTGTTTTTATGTTCAATTTCAAACATATTAAAAAAACTTATGCATGAATCTTTGTTTTGTATGGAATGTGTATTGGTGGTAAAAGCTAGTATGGAATCCACATTATTCTATGTACCCAGTTTCAAGATTATTATTTATTCAAATGGCTATATAATTTGTCAACAAATTTTTTTAATCGTTTTTTTTACGTCACGTGTTTTGCCCGCTGCAAATGTAAGCGCGTATAAGATAACCTTTGCTTAATCTTATCGAGTATGTCCGTTTAAAGTTAGGAATGATAGTCTACGAACGCGAACCCAATTTCATGTTAATTTAATGCAGATGTGGTGAAACGCGTGGTGCAAGCACTGAATATTAAAATCGCAATTGAAAATTACGTGGCAGCCGTGCTGGTTCATGAAAAGCCTGTATTTAAAAGCTGAAGAGAGGGAAACCTCTCTAAAAAGTTGAACGCACTTATCACAGTAACTAATGGGTCGAATAAAAAAGTTAATTTTATTTTGGATAGTTCTTTTATGACTGATGACCTACTGGCCTATTAGATTGAAAAATAATCATGCAACACATTCAGAAATCTGAGGCCCAGACCTAAAAGAGGTTGTAGCGCCAGTGATATATTTATTAGTTCGTTCATTCACGATAAAATTAACAATTTATATTTTGTTGTTGTAACAAATAAAAGTTATACATAACTATTATATTATGTATTGGTTTTGTTTAAAATTCTTCTTGACATAGGTACACTATCAGTATGTTGGAGGCTATGGAATGAGCGTAAGCATCTACGCTTCCAGTTACATACCGCAAAGACCCCGGAATGTTATAGTATGCGAATCATGACATGTAATGGTATCTATACATAATATTCTTGATGTGATGTATAGAGACAAAATTTAATCTGTGTTTTAACAAAGTGTTGTTCATGAACTGGGGTTTTCGTTAATGCAATCATTTTTACAATCATAACTTTTGTACTTATATATTTAGTGATTTAGTTGATACGATCGCTTTTTATATGTCTACTAGTAGACCGGCCAAGCGGTGCTGTGGCTAAGGTTTTTGTTATATTACATAGTAGTAACCTATTCAAGGGAAACGGTAGGAGAACACCAGTCATGGGGACC